ATCCCAGGACCCTGGGATCATGACCTGAGCTGAAGGCAGACGCTTAACGACTGAGCCACCCAGGCACCCCTCATCTTTTTTTTTTTTAATTCATACCATTGTTCCATCAGTTTTTATATGTTGTAATAAGTTTTTGAAGTTCTTATCTCTTACTTCCAGAATATAAGTCTTACAACAACCTTGTCATGTGCCCTTCATTTTACCCATCAAAAAGCATTTTCATAAAGTCTTTATTTGGTAGAATACAATGTTAGAATTTCTCATTTAAAAAGAAAATCGCTGTGCCACCAATTTACACAGCATAGTAGAGAGGATTATTGACTATTTGTAGAGTGAATAATTCAGAGAGGAAATAAGTGGAGAAATGAACTGGCAAAGATAGCTAAGAACCAAGCAGCTATGATATGTGTAGCAAGGACTAGAAGTGTGGGGATTCCTCTATGATAATCACTACAGAACAAATGATTTGCTTTATTTTTAAATTAATTTCATGTATTTTTGGATCTAACTTATATTATCTGTGATGTTTTGCTGCAGGACAAAGACTGAACAAGTAACATACTTTAGGGAAGAGAGATGAGCAGCTATTCTGATGCTTTTAAAATTCTGTGTGTGTGGTCACGTTCTCTGGGTTCATTATTTCAGAAGCCCAAGGTAGAATATTTAATAATAGTTTTTTTTCCCTCATAAGTGTGCCTACTTCATTAAATGAATATTCATTATTTTTTCTTTCCTTCATTAAATAAAAAAAATTTCTTCTGGAAGTAACCTGAATAATTTCTGGGAATCATTGATCTATTTCCTTTTTATACCATTTTATAGTGTATGCTAATAATCTTGTAAAGAAAATTAAATGTGCCAAAATATTGATTTGTTTATCTTTTTATTATTGGCAAGTCCAGATACAGATGTTTCTACTCATATTTCTACTGTAATCATAACTTTTTGCTACCAGATTTACGAATACTTCCCCATTTCTCCTTGAAATTTTAGTCGATTTTTTAAAAATTTTCCCAGTTGATTTTATGTAATTTTATTAGAAAAATCCAAGGTTATATGCCTTTTGTTCTATGTACATAGGAGTTCCATTATTCGGATACTAAATAAAATATCTCTTGTGCATTTACTATTCTTTATTTATAATGCAGTAGATAAGCCTGAAGAAAATAAGCCTGGCTATGGAATTGCTTATTTGTTTGGGAGGATGTTTGTCTGGATCAATGATGAGCACAATTGTCTGAGGATGCTGAGGGACTCATTCCAGATGTCAATCTGAGGTCCAGATGAGTGGCCCTCTAATAGGACAAATAAGACTCTCAAAGCCTGGCTGTATTTGAGGATCTTAAGTGACAAAACAGTACTGCTGTGAGCATGCCTCTTATTTATTTTGGAGCAAGGCATTAACCTCCTATCTCATGAGGCAGTGTGTAATTTAGATATGCTGTATGGCCCCAGACTTTCTTCATTTGCACACTTTGAACATAGAGTTGTCAATAGATATTTGTACATGGGAAACATGTTCATGAGTAATAAGTGAGGAAACGAAAGATTGAATTAAGAGCTCAAGCAACTGTGATGAGTACTGAAAGTTTCATTGGTGTTGGCTAAAAGAAGGAAACATTGCATACTTAAATATTGACAATGGAATCAATTTTTGGGTTTGTTATTTTTCAGTGTAGAGAATGTTCAGAGATTATATGTTTGCTTTTCTTTCTGTCATGTTTTTCTGAGGTAGACGGGATGGAATGAAGTCCTCCACTTCAGAGAAGAGCAGTGAGTAACTATGCCAGCATCCTTTAAATTCATATGTCATGTGTTCTGGGCCACATCCTAGGGTCTCTGTATTCATCTTTCCAATGACTTACTGGATAATATCTTCATTATGTGTCATCTTCTTTTCTAAAAAAAGATTTTATTTATTTGACAGAGAGCAAGAGAAAGAGCACAAGCAGGGGGAGCAGCAGAGGGAGAGAGAGAAGCAGGCTCCTCGCTGAGCAGGGAGCCTGACGTGGGGCTCGATCCCAGGACCCTGAGATCATGACCTGAGCCGAAGGCAGATGCCTAACTGACTGAACCACCCATGCAGCCCCATTATATGTCATTTTCTTTGGTGAGTGTCTTTAGCCTCCTTTCCAAATTTTAAATTTTATTTTATCTGAGTTCTATGTGGATTGACAGATGTAGAGCTTTGGAAAACTTGATTTGTTTTAGTTTAGGAAGAGGTAAATGTTTTTTTCTTGACAATGTTCTTGTCACACATTCTTTCAATGAGTAATGTTTTTGTGTTCTCTTTATACTTATGTATATGTATAGGTAGGTATGTATGTATGTTTGTATTTTAATGTGTGTATTTATTTCTCCAGAATCGAGCAAGGTCATTCAAATGAGCTCAATAATAATAAATAAAATAGCTTTGAACACTAATAACTGGAACACCATAAAGTAAAAGAGCCCTAACAGATACTGAAATAGACTCCAGAACTTCCATTATTAAAATATATATATAGAGAGAGAGAGAGAGAGAGAAATATTTGAGAATGAATGTTAATGATAGGAACACTAGAATATATTTTGGTATAATAAATATGATCCTACAAATAATCATTTGTATATTTTCCCATCTGTATATTTATACAATACTTACTTTAATATATAAGTGTATTTGTAGTGCATGGTTGTTGTTTCAAGGTATAGAAGTATATCACATATAATATTTATGCTGTAAAGGGCAGGTATTAAAAATGTACAACCCAGGGTCACCTGGGTGGCTCAGTTCATTAAGTGTGTGACTCTTGGTCAGGTCATGATCACATGGTCATGGGATTAAACCCAACATCAGGCTGTGCTGAGCACAGAGCCTGATTGAGATTCTGTCTCCCTTCTTGTCCCTCTGTTCCTTCCCCTGATTGTCTCTCTCTAAGATAAATAAATAATTATTTTAAAAAATTAAAATAAAAATGTACAACATAGTGTGGATTTTTTAAATTTAATTTAAATTTATTATGTTACGTTAGTCACCATACAATACATCATTAGTTTTTGATGTGGTGATCCATAATCCATTGTTTTCGTATAACACCCAGTGCTCCATGCAGTATGTGCCCTCCTTAATACCCATCACCAGGCTCACCGATCCTGCCACCCCCTCCCCCCTAGAACCCTCAGTTTGTTTCTCCGAGTCCACAGTCTCTCATGGTTCATCTCTCCCTCTGATTCCCCCTCTTCATTTTTCCCTCCCTTCTCCTAATATCCTCTGTGCTATTCCTCATGTTCCACAGATAAGTGAAACCATATGGTAATTGACTTTCTCTGCTTGACTTATTTCACTTAGCATAATCTCCTCCAGTCCCATCCATGTTGATGAAAAAGTTGGGTATTCTTCCTTTCTAATGGCTGAGTAATATTCTATTATATATATGGACCACATCTTCTTTATCCATTTGTCTGTTGAAGGGCATCACGGCACTTTCCACAGTTTGGTTATTGCGGACATTGCTGATATGAACATTGGGGTGCATATGGCCCTTCTTTTCAATACATCTGTGTCTTTGGGGTAAATACCCAGGAGTGCAATTGCTGGGTCATAGGGTAGCTCTATATTTAATTTTTTGACAAAACTCGACACTGTTTTCCAAAGTGGCTGGACCAACTGGCATTCCCACCAACAGTGTAAGAGGTTTCCCCTTTCTCCACGAACTCTCCAACATTTGTTGTTTCTTTCCCTGTCCATATTTGCCATTCTATCTGGTGTAAGGTGGTATCTCAGTGTGGTTTTGATTTGAATTTCTCTGATGGCTAATGATGATGGACATTTTTTCATGTGTCTATTAGCCATTTGTATGTCTTCTTTTGAGAAGTGTTTGTTCATGTCTTCTGCCCATTTTTTGACTTGATTATTTGTTTTTTGGGTGTTGAGTTTGAGAAGTTCTTTACAGATCTTGGATACCAGCCCTTTATCTGTAGTGTCATTTGCAAATATGTTCTCCCATTCTATGGGATGCCTCTTTGTTTTGTTGACTGTTTCCTTTGCTGTGCAGAAGCTTTTTATCTTGATC